CAGCAGGGTTGTGAACAGTAACCCTGTCACACGCACCACCCCACCCTAGCCCCAGCTCAGGCATCTTGAGGGCAGCAGCTGGAGCTGCCTCAGTTATTGCTGCATTCCCCAGTCTCACCAGGGGGCCATCCACATGGTCAGTGCTCAATAAAATGGGCCCAGAATGAGTAGGAAGGGTTTTCCCCTTGTTGGGTAATTGCTTTTAGAGCCTTCTGGTTAGTGTAGCTTCACAGCCCTGCACTTAATTACCTCTTAAAATAAACATCCCGTGTGTACAGTGAAGAGCGTTTCTTCACTGACCAAGTACTGCCTGCCGCACCTGACCCCTGTGTGCCAATTTGTCAGAGGATCCTCCTGGGACAGCAGACCCCATTCCTGCCCTAGTGGAGCTCCTGGCCCAGGCTGGGATGTGGCAGGTATCCATGCAGAGGAGCATTAGTGACTGCATGGGAGGACTCTGGCTGGATTTCTGCAAACACAGGCCAACACCCACATGAACAGATGAGGCCTGGGCAGCTTTTGCTCCACGGTCGGCAGGCTTCGTGTGTTAGTTATCCATTGCTGTGTAACAAAATGGCCCACAACCCAGCAGCCTGAAACAGCAAGCAGGTTTTTTATGGGGAGGGGGTTAGCAATGAGGAGTAGATTAGCTGGGTGGTTCTGGCTCAGGGTGTGACTGGAGAGTACCTCAAGCTCCTGACTGGGAGCCTCCAGTCATCCTGAAGGTTCGAGTGAGGCAGGACATCCACTTCAAGCTCATTCTCAGGGCAAGGGCCTCGGTTTCTCTGTTCATATATGCTGAGCCACACACATCTCTTTTGGGCTGGTTTGAAAATATCCTGTTGTCCCTGGAAGTGCAGATGGGTAGGTCTGGTTTGAGAGATTTGGAAATGTGGTTACCCTGTAGACTGTGGTTCTTGGGAGCTGAGTGATCTTACAGTTACGAAGGGTGGATGAGAGGATAGAAAGGCTGCAGCTGGGAGTGCCTGGTCAAAGGATGGTAACAGTGAGTGTGATGTGGTTGAAATATGCTAATGGTGGTGTGACAAACCCTTCCATTAGCACTTACTGTTTTCAGGGACATTTATCAGCTCATTTAATGCTCACTGGCACCTCTATGGAAATGTTTGCTATTATGTTTTATTTTTATTTATATTTTTATTGTTTTGAGCAGGGTCTCGCTTTGTCTCCCTGGCTAGGTGCATTAACAATCATGGTTCACTGCAGCCTTGACCTCTTTTTATTCGTTTGTTTTGTTGTTGTTGCTGCTGTTGTTGTTTTTCTTTTTGAGATGGAGCCTTGCTGTGTCCCAGGCTGGAGTGCAGTGGCACCATCTCGGCTCACTCACCGACCTCCACCTCCCAGGTTCAAGCGATTCTCCTGCCTCAACCTCCCAAGTAGCTGGGATTACAGGTCACTCACCACACGTCCGGGAAATTTTTGTATTTTTAGTAGGTGAGATTTCACCACGTTGGCCAGGCTGGTCTGAACTCCTGATCACAAGTGATTACCCTCAGCCTCCCAAAGTGCTGGGATTACAGGTATGAGCCACGCACCCGAGGACCTGACCTTGACTTCTTGGGGCTCAAGTGGTCCTCCCACCTCAGCCTCCCAAGTAGCTGAGACCACAGGCACGTATCACCATGCCTGGCTAATTTTTTTTTTTTTTTTTTTTTTTTGTAGAGACGGGGTTTCACCATGTTGTCCAGGCTGGTCTCAAACTCCTGAACTCAAGCCATGTGTCCACCTCGGCCTCTCAAAGCACTGGGTTTACAGCTGTGAGCCACTGTGCCCAGCCTGTGTTTGCTGTTATGATCCCCTGTGCACAGAAAGGCATGTGTATTTGCCCAAAGCCACACAGCTAGTCCTAGCCAGGGTTGGAACGTAGAGTCTGTAGCCCCAGGGTCTGGTCCGTTCTCAGCCTCTCTCCTACCTGCCTCCCGCGGGATTCTTCTGCCTCTGCAGCGGCCGCCCGCTCTTCGCAGTGCCTCATTTGCAGTTCACGTGGGGCGTCACGTGTGGGGGCCAGGCTCTGAAGCCACACAGACCTGTGCAGGCCTTTATCTGTGACTGTGGCAGGACTGAGGCTGACCTTTCCCTCAGTGCTTCTGGCTGAGGCAGAGTGAGCCCAGGGAGCAACGGGAGTGATGGGCCTCTGGCTCTCTCATTGAAAATGTCAACATGGCTGGGCACAATGGCTCACACCTATAATCCCAGTCCTTTGGAGAGGCTGAGGTGAGAGGATCATTTGAGCCAGGAGTTGAACCAACCCTGGCAACAAAAGCGGGGCCCAGCCTACTAAAAATAAAAATTGGGCTGGGCCTTGGTGGCTCACGCCTGTAATCTCAACACTTTGAGAGGCGAGGTGGGTAGGATCACCTGAGGTCAGGAGTTTGAGACAAGCCTGGCCAACATGGTGAAATCTCATCTCTACTAAAAATACAAAAAAATTAGCTGGGCCTGGTGGCGGGCGCCTGTAATTCCAGCTACTTGAGAGGCTGAGGCAGGAGAACTGCTTGAACCCAGGGAGACAAGGTTGCAGTGAGCTGAGGTCATGCCATTGCCTCTAGTCCTGGGTGACGAGCAAAACTCCATCTCAAAAACAAAAACAAAAACAGAAAAATTTAAATTAAAACAATTAAAATTAAGACCAGGCACGGTGGCTCATGCCTGTAATCCCAGCACTTTGGGAAGCTGAGGCAGGTGGATCACGAGGTCAGGAGTTCCCAGCCATCTGGGTAACATGGTGAAACCCTGCCTCTACTAAAAATACAAAAAAATTACCCAGGCATGGTGGTGGGCGCCTGTAGTCCCAGCTACTCAGGAGGCTGAGGCAGGAGAATGGCATGAACCTGAGAGGCAGAACTTGCAGTGAGATGAGATCATGCCACTGCACTCTGGCCTGGGTGACAGAGCGAGACTCCGTCTCAAAAAAAAAAAAAAAAAAAAAAAAATTAAAATTAAAAATTAGCTGGCTGTGGTGGTGGTCACGCTACTCAGGAGGCTGAGGCGGGAGGATTGATTCAGGCTTGGGAGATCGAGGCTGCAGTGAGCCATGATCACGCCACTGCACTCCAGCCTGGGTGACAGAGCAAGACCCTGTCTCAGAAAACAAACAAAAAAAGCTGACATTGTAGAAAACAGTTTGAGTGATTCCTTAGGATGTAAACATTAGTTCACATTATGACCCAGCAATTCCGCTCTAGCTGTATCTCTAAGAATCGGAAACAGGTATTCACACAAAATGTGAATGGACAGGAATGTCCGTAGCAGCACTGTGCACAACAGCCCGAAGGTGGAATTGACCTACAAGGTCCTCTAGCAGGTGAGTGAATGCACAGATTGTGAGCTGTCTGTACACACTGGAACCGCGGTTCACCTAAAAGCGGATGAAGCACTGACATGCTACAGCATGGATGAACCTGAAAGATGGTGCTGAGTCAAAGAAGCTAGACATCAAAGGCTGCGTTGTGATTCCGTTTATGTGAGATGTTTAGAATGTGTGTCGTTAAATCCATCAAAAGTGTTTGCTGGGGCTGGGGGCGAGGGGACTGAGGTGACTGCTGATGGGTTTGGGGTTTTCCTGTGGGGCAATTGAAGTGTCGGAACTAGACAGAAGTGGAGGCTGCACAGCCTTGCAGATATGCTAGGTAACACTAATTATTTACTTTCAAGTGGTAAATTTAGGCGGGCGCAGCGATCTCACCATAATCCCAGCACTTTGAGAGGCCCAAGTGGTGGATTGCCTGAGCTCAGGAGTTCAAGACAAGCCTGGGCAACATGGTGAAACCTATCTCTACAAAAAAAATACCCCCAAAATTAGCTGGGCATGGTGGTGCACGCCTGTGATCCCAGCTACTCAGGAGGCTGAAGTGGGAGAATCGCTTGAACCTGGGAGGCAGAGGTTGCAGTGAGCTGAGATCACACCACTGTACTCCAACCTGGGTGGCAGAGTGAGACCCCATCTCAGCTCGCTCAGCTCCGCTCCATCATCATCTCATGCCTTATATCCTGTAATTTTACTTAATAGACCTGTAAAAACAGCATCAACAAAAATGAACAGAAGAGGCGGTGGATCTGCAGAGCCCACAGCTCCCATCTTCCCTGTGCTGCTTCATAAGTGTCACCCTCTCCTGGCAGCTGTGCTGAGGGCTGGGGACGTGGTGGGGACCCTCTGCCCCCAGGCCCACCCTCAGAGCCTGTCACTGGGAGGTCATTAAACAGGCCAAACCTGTGTTACAGCCGCGTCACATTCACGGTCCTGTTCCCAGTGCCATAATCTCATTACACCGAGTCCTGTTTGCTAGAGCACCGTAGCACCTAGAAAGATAGCTGTTCTCAGTGTTGTTCAAGTTTAATTTATCTGCAAGTATAAATTATGAGCATTGTAAGAAGGGCGAGTGCACGAAGCCTGATTTGTATTCAGAGTTAAAGCTTTGGGCAGAAGAGCTGTCTTTCACAGGTGTGGCTTCCTCCCCTCTTCCTGGGGAGACTGCCACTTGACCTGGGGGGACCTGTGTCACTGTCACAGACTGGGTTTGGGGCGTGCCCTGTGCACTCTGGAGAAACGATACAATGGCACCAACTCCTGGGGCTCTTTGGCCTAGCCTCATTGTCTGGTGGAAAGTAAATGAGAGGCCTGGTACAGTGGCTGAAACTGTAATCCCAGCACTTTGAGAGGGTGGCCCGGGTGGATCACCTGAGGTCAGGAGTTCGAGACCAGCCTTGCCAACATAATGAAACCCTGTCTCTACTAAAAGTGCAAAAATCAATGATTGTGTTGGTGGGCATCTGTAATCCCAGCTACTCGGAGGCTGAGGCAGGAGAATTGCTTGAACTCCCGGGAGGCGGAGGTTGCAGTGAGCTGGGATTGCATCACGCTCCAGCCTGGGCAACAGACTGAGACTCTGTCTCAAAAAAAAAAACAAAGAAAGTAATTGGGTCAGCAGCAGTGACTGTCAGGGACCTCAGTGCTCTACCCCACCTCTCCCTGACTGCAGGCAGAAGGTGGTGGAGGCAGCCTGACACACCGCCCGCCCTGGCGCTCTCTGGGGACACTCTGTACTGGACGGACTGGCAGACCCATCCATCCATGCCTGCAACAAAGCGCACTGGGGGAAGAGGAAGAGAGATCTGGCGCCCTCCTCACCGCCAGACATTCCAGGTGCTGTAGGCCAGGGCGGCAGCCTTTCTGTGAGTGCCGGCTGGGCACGGGGGCTGAGGCATGGGGCGTGGGGGGGACGGGGTAGGGGGATGGGGGGCAGTGGCATGGGGAGGTGGGAGAGTAAGTGGGGTGGGGGAGCAGGTGGCCCCTCACCTGCAAATGCATGCTCTGGGGAGCACCCTCTCTCTAAAGGGATTTCTGCTGCAGGCTCAGGAGATGTGTGCAGTATGGCTGGCTGGGGCACAGGGGCCTGCAGAGGGCCTCTGCGAGGCTTGTGGGGGCTGTTTCAGGTTCAGCAGTGGCAAAGAGGATTCCCAAGGGAAGCTTGCCTTGTTTTCAAGGCCCAGAAGAAGTTGTATGCGTGTATATGGATATTAAAACGTGTGTGTGTGTGTGTGTGTGTGTATATATATGTATGTATGTATGTATGTATGTATGTATGTATGTGCTATTTTCATTTATTTGAGACGGAGTCACTGCTCTGTCACCCAGGCTGGGGGTGTGGTACAATCTTGTCACTGCAAGCTCCGCCTCTCCTGAGCTCACGCCATTCTTCTGCCTCAGCCTCCTGAGTAGCTGGACCCATGGCTCCCGCCACCCGCCTAGCTAATTTTTTGTATTTTTAGTAGAGACAGAGTTTCACCGTGTTAGCCAGGGCCAGTCTCAATCTCCTGACCTCGTGATCCGCCCGCCTTGGCCTCCCAAAGTGCACAGGATTACAGGCGTGAGCCACACGCACGCCCGGCCACGTGTATGTATTTTAATAGAGATGAGATTTTCCATGTTACCCAGGCTTGTCTCAAACTCCTGGGCTCCAGTGGTCCTCACACCTTGACCTCCCAAAGTGCTGGGGTCCCAGGTATGAGCCGCCATGCTTGGCCCTGCAAAGTTGAATATTTATCAATGAATAACCTGCTCAGAATCAGCAGTTCTCAGCCTGGGGCCACGCAGGAGATTTGTGACAGAGGTCCTGATGGTGAAATTCACCCAGCTTTTTTGTGACAGTGGGGCTGTGGCTCTGGGGACAGTGACCCACACCTCCACGAGACCAGGGATGGAGATTTCTGGCGAAAGCCATTGGAAAGGTTTGGACTTTGAATTGAAAGGTGGGGCCCTGAGGGTGGCAGCTGGTCCCAGAGCAGGACACAGGAGGTGGGAGCTCTCTGGAGCTGCTTTCTCCTGGTGAGAAAGTCATGGTCACAAAACCCTTTTACACTTGGGAGTAGCATGAGGAGGGAGAGGTTCGTTTTTGGTGAGTTTGTTGTTCCAGTTATATCCATTTTTGAGGGCTGATACACCCCAGCTTTCCCCTGGTTTTGAATGAAGTGCTGGAAGCATTTTGTTGAGTTCTGTTCAATTGCTGTTGGTCACAGAGGTTTGGGAGGTGACAAGCAGCCAGCTCAGCAAGGGACAGTGTTCCTGTGGAAGCTGCTGGGTCCACACATAGCACAAAGACAAGACAAGCCTTTTGCCCAGGAGCCCACTGTCTCTGGGGTTTCCGTCCACTACCACACAGGCAGGTCTGACCTCTGCCATGGGTATAAGGCACCCTTTTGAGAGAGTGTCCTTTCGGGCCCTGAGGAACTGGGGAGGATTTCCCAGTCGGCCAGACTTGAGTGGGAGGGAGCAGGTAGGAGGATGCCACTCACGGGCAGGTCACGTCTGGGTGTGAGGTGGCCAGGAGAAGGTCACGCGGCTGGTTTTGGGGAAATTGCAGGCCGTCCTGGCCGGGAGCTGAGGAGCCTGATGTGGAGGGCCAGCGGTGAGGCAGGTGGAGATGGTGCACCATGAGGTCCTGATACTGCCCGCCAGAGGCTGGCATTTGGGCAGAGGACACACTGGGGGCTGTCATAGGGACAAGGAGGCAGGATGCGACTCATTTCAGAAACAGTGTCTGATCTTCTTCTGGAACCTTCTCTCACTCTGTCCTGGTTTTCCCAGTCCACACTCGCTGTGAGGAGGACAATGGCGGCTGCTCCCACCTGTGCCTGCTGTCCCCAGGAGCCTTTCTACACATGCACGCCTGTCCCACGGGTGTGCAGCTGCAGGACAAGCAGGACATATGAGCAGAGTGAGCCATTGGGTGGGGACGGGGACGGGACGGGAGCAGGTAGAGCGAGACCTGGCGGGAATGGGCTGCGGCCAGTTGCCCCAGAAGAACCTAAACAAACCGTTCAAAGTAATCACTTGGCCAGGTGTCATGAAATTCAAATCTGCGGTCAGCTACTCGGGGTGAGTTGGGAGGTTTACTTGAGCCCAGGAGGTCAATCCTGTTTTATTTTTGCCCAGATATTTTCCCAGTTTTTCACTCTCCGCCTTGGTCCTCAGGCGCTTGAGGCTGCCTTCCTGGTACTGTGCAGTGGGACATGGCTCTTCCTCTAAGGTCAGTGGCTGAGAGTCTTCCTTTCCAGGTGTCAGTTCGGGAGGCCCGGGCCCTTTGGGAAATCACAGTTCAGATTTTGGCTTGCCTTGAGGATACTTCTGGGCCTGGGGTAGCGGTCTGAGCCTCTGGGACTGACCCTGGGCCTGGCTAACAGAGTGAGGGAACGCGAGGTGTCAGGAAAAGCGCCATCCCTGGTACCAGTCCTCCCCATTTCTGCGTGATGGGGCCAGCTAGAAGGTGGTGGGGCAGGCCTGCTGTGCCAGTATCCCACTCGGGAGGCAAGGGAGCTGAAGTGGGCTGGCTTCCACCTCCGGGAGAGTCACAGGCAGAGTCTCGATGTGGGGCCCCTGAAGGACTCTCCTGGTATCAGTGGGTGGAGAAATCTCCTTCTCCCACTGCTGTCTGAAGCACATGGGGGTCCTGACTCTGGAGACAGTTTACTAGTCCCTCTGCCCTCCCGGCTAGGGTCTGTACTTGTGTGCGAGTGGCCGGGGTGTGTGTGGTTAAGACACCTGTGGCACATGGGTCTTTCTCTGCTCCTGGCAAGTCCTGCTCTTGGTGAGGACTTTCCAAGGTTAAGTATTTATTAACACCTCTTTCTGAGAGCAGAGCATCTTTAATGAAGACATGGCTGTTTCTTAAAAGGGTCTGTCCACTCTGTGCAGCTACTGCAGGATGGTTGAAGTCTCTCCCCACCCCGAGCATCTTGTTTTCCCAAGTGGGGAGAAGGAGGAATTTGAGAAATGGGGACTTGGGTGGCTAATCCTCAGCTCTGGACAACACCTAGTCATTCATTTGCTTGCTCGTTCATCATCCATCCCTTTGCTCAAACAAGCAGGCGTTTGTCAAGCACTTGCCGCAGTGCCAGCATTGCTCGAGGCACTGGGACCCTGGCGGTGCAGACAGAATCCTGGGCCTCTGGTGCTCACACTGGGAGTTCTGGGAGGCTGGGTGGGTGGGGAGATGGCACAAAGCGAGTCCACGGGGAGTAGGTGCATTAGAAAGGGTGAGTGTCTTGGACACCCACTCCTCCATCACCTCTGAGCCCTTAAGCTGTTTACCATTTACCTGACCTCGAGCAATGTTGAAGAAAACTGGACCCAGGAAGGAGTCCAGATGAGCTGCCTTGTGAGTGACCTTGTGACACCAGGGGTTTGGACCAAGCAGATTAAGGGTGGATTAGAGACCCTTGAGTGGAAGGAGGTTTGACCAGGTTGGATGAGCCTCTTGTTTACAGAGGAGGCTAGGGCAAGTCACTGGCCTGGGGTCACCACCCACTTGGGTGGCATAGTAGGTTCAAGCAGGTGGGGTCTGGCTCCCAGAGACATGAGTTTGCTGCTGCTCCATGCACCTGAGCCCTGGTGGAAACAAGGCCCTGGTCTCCCTCACAGACTGCCCCAGGACCCTGCCTGCTCCCTGGAAAGGAGGTGCACGAAGCTCCACATAAGCCTCAGCAGAGGATGCTTGGCCGGCGGCTGCCCGAGACTTTGGCCCTCCCCAGAGTTTGTTTTCTCTCTTGCTGTCTGTCTGTTGGTGAGAAGAAGGCTGAACTCCCAGTGGTGGAGCTGGACCCTGTGTTCTGCAGTGTTGGTCGAAGTCTGGTGGACAGAAGAATGAGGACACACAGGCTTATGGCGGCAGAAGGCGGCCACCACAGGCAGGGCCAGGGGGCCCGAGGTGGAGAGAGAATCACCGGAACACAGCACAGGTTTAGAACAGGCAGCTCGGGCCAGGCGCAGTGGCTCACACCAGTAATCCCAACAATTTGGGAGTCAGGAAGCAGGTGGGTCATTTGAGGTCAAGGTTCAAGACCAAGCCTGGCCAACATGGTGAAACCCCATCTCTACTAAAAATACAAAAATTAGCTAGGCAGTAGTGGCACAGGCCTGTGATCGTATGCTTCCCAGGAGTTAAGGCAGGAGTGAACCCAGGAGGCGGGAGCTTGCAGTGAGCCGAGATCACTTCTGCACTCCAGCCTGGGCTCCGTCTCAAAAAAAAAAAAAAAAAAAAAAAAAAAAGGCAACTCATCCTGTCCAATCTAGAAAAGGTGGAAGGTGGCATATACGTTCCCAATATCCACAAATATTCCAGAAAATATCCGAGAAGAAAGCAGTTAATGAGTTGGGCCTGTTCCCCTGCCCGGTGCACGATGGTGGGGCGTGTGAGGCAGAGCGGCACACAAATGGACATAGTCAGGACAGACCTGGGTGGTGTGGGACACAGCAGAGCTGAGTTGGAGACTCCTATGCTGGGGCCGTGACGCCTGAACCAGCAGGCCAGGAGTTTCTCCTTGGAGGCCCTGAGATCCCGGGGACTAAAAGAGGAAGGCGGAAGGAACAGCACGTCTGGCTCTGAAGTAGGAACATGTTGGTGTCGGGACCTGACTACGAATGCGACCTATGTAGTCATGAGGTGAGCTTCTGTTGTTGTTGACCTGAAATTCCTACCTTTTGAGTAAGGGGCTCTCTGCACTCCCATTTTGCAGCAGTCCCCACAGATTCTGCAG